CTTTCAAAGAAGCATGAAGAACCTTGAGAATGACAAATAAGGGAAGGAGTCAGAAAAAAATGACACAAGAAAGTAGAAACTAGTTATTACCAAGCCTGCTGTTTAGTGACAAGTATAAGGATTTACCATAATATAATAGAAACAGCAAAATGTTTACGATAGAAGATGAACATGTTCAAAGACATTTTCTAAGGGAAAGGTTTGTTATCCAGTGATCACTAGTAGAGGATTAGAATTTATACCATGTAAGAAAATGGGAAATAAAAATCGATCAGGGTGCTTTTGGTACAGTCCTGTGCTGAGGCAAGGGAAAAGACCAAGTAGATTCAAGTTTCCACCAGCCCTCACATTTTGTATGGTAAAGACTCTCCCCGTCCGTCCAGCTAAGAGTGAGGTGTTTAATTCCCAGAAACATAAAGTTCTTTGAAGAAATTCCCATTTGGTTTCTCGGATGATTAATCTGCATGTACAGAGTTTATTAGGAGCAGCCCAAGCTGCCAGAGGAAAACGGATTTGTTTTCTGAGAATAACATTTCTATCTCTTCAAACATAAGAGGTGGGGGAAGATTGTTGGTGGGAAAACTAAAGTATTTTTAAGAGCCTGTGACTCCAGATAATACTGAGGATCCAAAGCAGAAAGACCATGAGCTTAGATTGTTTCCACAAAATCTCTTTCCCGTCTCTTAAACCTTAACTGTCAACCTCTCTGAAAACACTGAAGCCACCCACTTAAAACTGACCTGCATTTGTACCTCATGTTTACTCCTTCCCTCCTGTCAGAATGAAGGTCATGTCGTATTTCGCGTCATCTGGAACTCCTTTCTCTCCCTCCCGCATCACAGCCAACTCCTAGCAATTCCTCGTCTTCAGTCTCTCTCTCAACTGCCTCCACCTTAGCTCAGGCCACCAGCAGCTCCCTCCCGGATTCTACAAAAGAATTCTGAAGCGGAGCCCCTGCTCCACGTTTTGTCCCCTTCCAATCTCTTCTCTACAAAGCAGCCAGTTCAGTCGTTCTACAGCCTAAGTGCAATCACGTTAGCTCAATGACAATCTCGTCAATGGCCTTGCGATCATTTCGAGCAACCACCTCACAGCGATAAAGGGCTGAGTCTGTCCGGGTCACGTTCCAGATCTTTAGAGATGTTTTCCCCAATAGTTCTGCACGACCTGCCAAATCTCCTACAGAAAAGAAGACACAGGGCACACATTAAAAGACGTTTTAAAGGTATCTTTGCCATGC